TTTTTTTTTTTTTTTTTTTGAAAGTTTGCTCCAAAGCGAAGTCTCTGTGCGCGGGTGCGGGGGATGGGTGGAGCTGCGCCCTGTGATGCGGCCGCTTGCAGGAAGCACCCGGGCCCCGCGCAAGCTCCGCGCCCCGCGCAGCCGCCGCCGCCGCTCTGCTCCGTTCTGCTCCGCTCGGCCGCGGGCGCTGCGCGGCGCTGCGCGCTCCCCCCCACGCCGCCACCGGGAGCGCTTGCTGCCTGGCGAGTAAAAATAATAATCATTAGAAAATAAAGGCCGTCCGGAGGTTTGCGCGTGTGTTTTGTCTGCGTCCTCCCCATCTGCCGCCTGCGCCCTGTGCCCCCGTCCCGGCCGGGAGAGCCGCGCTCGCCGCGGGCTTTGGGAGCAGCTCGAAACGCTCGCGTTTCCCCGCAAACTGTGTTGACAAGCGATTGCTGAGAAAGGGCTGGGAAAATTACATCTCGTCTCTGGTGGGGTGAAATCTGAAACATGTAATCTAACGGTTCCCGAGGAGGAGGAGGAGGGGGGGAGGAAGAGGCACTGCTCGCTCCCTCGCTCGCCGTCTCCCTGCTCCGGGTTCCTGGTTGGATAATTCGGGTTAATGCCAGCGAGCGAGCCTTTTGCTGCTTCAAAGGGTATTTCAAGTTGCCGGAGCTCCTCCCCTCCGCACCGTGTGACAACAACAACTCGTCCAGAGAGCGAGCGGCGGCGGCGGCGGCAGCCAGCACTTCCCAGCTCATTTTCTCTCTGTCATTCCCCTCTCAATCTTTGATCAATGTACTTGCCAGAGAGAACCGAAGTCCTTCAAACCTCCTCCTTTTCACCTTCGTCTCTAACGTGGTGCTAGAGCAAGGACCGCAAAAAGCAACTGCCCTCCTCTCCCCCCCCTTCCCCTCGGCCCCAGCCCCGCCGCCCGGAGCGGACTTCTCCTCCTCCTCCTCCTCCTCCTCCGTCCCCACTTGCGGGACACTTTGTGCGTTTCTCTCTCTCACTCTGCCCCCTGCTCTCTCGCTCGCCGCAGCACCTGATCCGGGGTTATTCCCCCCTTCTTCTCCCCTCCCCTCCTCCCTTCTCTCTCTCTCCTTTTTTTTTTTTTTTTTTTT